ATTTTAACTCACAATTGTTGGTGAAGCTGTAATACGGGCCCATGACGTGGAAGGGCGGGCCTGCTTGTTCCTCTTTACAGATAATGAGCATGATGAGGGCGAACAGCCTCTGGGTGACTGGCTAGTAGACCACGTGCGGCAGTACCCGAAAACCGGACACAACCGGACAGGGGGGAGGGGGGGTCATTTTTGGCAAAAACGACCGGACGGTCCTTTATGGATGGCCCCTTACCTATGATGATGAAGTTAAGCTAAATGACTACCATAGTACAGGTATCAAAAGTAAATGTGAGCTCAATGTACTTCCATCTTTCTATATTACTTCAAATTATTGTGTCGACACTTTTCACGACTGGATGTAAGGCATTTGTCACTATACGATGTTACATATACTTGACCACTGCATTCCAAAGTATTTTGATGTAGACATTTTAAATGATAGAATAAGTCTTTATGACTTTGGTCCTTGTGAGTCTAATAGAGTTCCTCTACTAAGTCATGAATAATATTCTTCTAAAGATAAATTGAAACTGTCTGGTTCAGAAACTCTTCTCTTTGTCAAGCATTTTGGTCTACTAATCGGTGATAGAGTTCTGGTAGATGACTCGTACTGGAAACTTTATGTAAAGATGAGAGCGCTTCTTGATGTTTGCTTAGCTAAATCTTTTAGTCCTAATGCTTCTAACATTTTAAGAATCAATGTAAAGGAATTCAATACTATGTACTTTGAAGTCACAAAAGATACCTTAAAAGCTAAAATGCACTTTCTTGTTCACTATCCCACTGTTTTTTCTGAAAGTGGATCATTTGAATTAACAAGTACAAAAAAGTATGAGAGAAAGCACAGGTCTCTGCTCGGCCCTGCTCATAGCACTTCCTCTAGAGTGAATATTGCTAAAACTGTTGCAAATAAACACCAACTTAACATGTGTTATCGTTTCATGTCGAAGGAGTCAATCATTCCATCTACTGTTAGTGGGCCTAGTGCACTGTTAAAAAAACTGTTGTAAATTAACAACAAAAGTGTAGTTAAGTTTGTTAGCAACACATGTTGTTTTTTAACAACACATGTTGTAAAATAACAACACATGTTGTAAAATAACAACACTGATAAAAATCTTGGAAACAAAGTTTCTGAACAAAAACAGTCACTTTTGTTATGGTCCTGGGAGAAAAAGTTGTAATATTACGAGTGTGTTGTTTTTGAACGAAATGTGTTGCTAACAAAATTAACCACTCTTTTCTTGTACATTTACAAAAGAGTAATACCTAGTAGTTTCTGTTGTGGGTCAATATAAGCCGAATAACACAAGTTTCGCGAGGGGTCAAATGAAAACAACATTTGTTGTTAATTTACAGCTGTATCGTTTAAAAGAGAGTTGTATTTTTACAACTCTTTTTAACAGTGTGCCTTAATCATCAAAATACTATACAACCCCCCTCCCACTGACTCACTCACTGACTCACTCATTGATATAAATGTTTGGCAACAACCAAAACTGCCATGTAAACCTACTATACCTTTTTGGATCCGCGATACCCCATTTGACCCCAGAAAAACCCCCATCTCCATCGTTGGACCTCACTGGGGGCCGTTAAAAGGCCATGTAGAAAAGGGTTGCGTGGGAGAAAAAAATAAAGTCCAAAAAAGTCGCCATTTTTTTATGGTCTCCTAGGGGGTAACTCGTCATTTTGGTACCTCTGGTGAAAATTTCGTCCGCGGGGCTCTTCGACGCACCGTTTCGGCGCTAGGCCATGCTTTGTAACAAAGTTGTCAAACACTGTAACATGGGGTATGGCGGAGGAGGTAAATTGTCATTTTGCGACCCTTTGGGCGGAAATTTTGTCCGTTTGCGCCTCCGAAGCACCGTTTTCCCGCCAGGCCCAGTTTTC